ACTCTCTCTCTCTCTCTCTCTCTCTCTCTCTCTCTCTCTCTCTCTCTCTCTCTCTCTCTCTCTTGTGTTAGCTCTCAGTCTCATTGATTTGGCTACCTTAGGGCTGCGTTCCCCGCACCCACGCGGTAGACAATACCTATCATACCATAATTCAGTCTGAACTCAAAGCAAGATTTTCACCATTAAACCCCTCATTTCACGCTTATCATTCATCCCTCCTCATCCATGTCGCTCTGTACCAGAAAGATCCTCAAAAGCGAGGCTCTATCGACCAGGGGAGGATGACTCGGCTTGACCTCTTATAATAAGTACTTCACACTTAGGCCACAGTCTTAAGACATCTTCAACGATAGTCAAGGTATCAAGCAATCGACCATATACGTCCAAAGAAAACTTCTCCTTTTGCCTAATTCTCATTTTCTCATACCCGGATGTCGTTCCACCAGGGACAACAGCAGGCAACCGTTATCCCCGACAACGACGCCACCTGTCGAGCGCATCGGTCCCGAGCTGCCTTGTGCGGTGCCGGACCGATGTGCTCGACAACGCCCACGCGGTAGACAATCTGGTGGGACTGTCCCGCCTCATCCATAATTTGGAGATGGTGGGCGGACCACTGACATACCATCTTAGACGTTGCAATGGAATGGAGCAAGGAGTGGGTTTGACTGGGTGGCACCCCAGCAAACCTCCACCTTTACAATGGTTGGAGGGGGTATATGGCTTAGGCTTTCAAGGCAGTCGGATTCTGGATCATCTCAACGGAGAGAAATAGAACCCTGTTCCAGGGGAGAACAATGCCAGACCCGGAAATCAAAGCCATGTTCAAAGCAATGACACGAAGGGCCATTTGGGCAGATTGGAAAAGAAAGGTCCCGAAAGGACCAGGTCGGAGAGCGGGACTGAGATGGTTCAGAGAGACATGGGCAGTCAATGGCAAACTGGCCACAGTTGATGGCAGGAAGAATATGAAGTTTGCAGAATGGTTAGTTAGCTAGTTATACCAGTGCACTTGGTTTCTATTCTAGACGCAATAGGAAGGCGGACGCGAATTGGGAAAAGAGAGGGCTAACCGGTTCTGCGGTCCCGTTGTAGGGTGCTGTTGGGGCTAGTCCCTACGAGCTGGGCAAAGTCCCAGTTGTGTCTGTGTCGATCCGGGCTGCTTTTCCTCCCCCCTCCACACCCCCCCCCAAAAAAAAATCAAAGGTGCTACGAACAGCTGAAAAAGTGTGCCATAAAGGAAAAAAAGAAAAAAAAAGAAAAAAAGAAAAAGTGTGCCATATCTGACGGTCAGGCATCGAAATTCCTGTCACGCGTAGTTGGCACCATCTGATAATACCACTTCTGGTTCTCTTTTTGACGGGCCTTGTCCTGTTCCTGTCTTCCTATCGCTGGTCGGCGAAGGTCGATCACCGAGCAACAACGGCCGCAAAGGTGGAACCTTGACATGTGCGAAGTGGCCAACGGCGGCTGCATACGTGGCCATGGAATTGTCGCTCAAGCGTGGTCGAGGGGACCGCGCGGCGCGGGTGTGGCGCGACGTCCACCATCTGCCCCTCTTCGGCCGCCGCCCTCGGGCTGCTGTTCCCAGTAGGTAGAGCGGCTCTCCTCTCCATTCCGTCGGTCGCCGCCCAGGAGCCGCCCCGTCAGCCGGTCGGTTGCCCGTCTCGTGCTTGTCCGCGCGCCGCCTTGCTCGCCATCAGCAGCGCCTCGAGCAGTCTCTCTGTCTTTGTGGTTCGGATAGCACGCTATCTGTTTCTCCCGGTAGTCCGCTGGTAGCGTGCGGCTGGCTGCTTTTGGTGGTGAGCGTCTCGGCGCTCTCTGGGTTCTTGTCGCCCGCGCAGAGGGAAAGCGTGCACGTCAGCGTTCGCGCCTGGCGGTGAGGAGTCCCGCGGGAGCCCCCGCCGCGGTCGCAGAGAGGGCGGGGCAACATGGAGGGATGGCGGGGCGTTGGGGGCGGGGAATGAGGTAGGGAGGGACTGGCGCGCGTTGGGGTTGAATGGAAGAGCGGCGGGGACCAGCATTCCCCGATTCTCCCGCTACGGCGGCGCACGCAACCGGCTACTCGACCTCGTAGGTTTGCCAGGTACCTAACCTAGCAAAAGGAGAGTTGGGAGGAGGGAGGTGGCCATCTATCGATAGCCGAATGCGGTGGTGGAAAGGCAGAGGGAGAGAGGAGAGAGAGAGGAGGGAGAGAGAGAGAGGGTGGGTGGGTAGGGAGAGATCCGTGAGCAGGGAGGCGTTCCTTTTCCCCGACACTGCTTAGCGCCTTCGTTCGCTCGCCCGCTCGCTCGCTCGCTGCGGGGTTGTCTGTGAGCGCGGGCCATCACGCGCTAGAAACGGACCGACCCTGGTGGTAGATTGATTAGCAGGCAGGCTGGCGGGAGGGTATTGCATGTCGGGGGCGTTGGCAGAGTCATCCATCGTGGCGACCGGTCAGGTGATTCGTGCGACCTCCCGTGCCCTTCAGCGGCGGGTAATGGCGGCGACAACGACCATTGCCTCCGCCAGGGCGGCGGCCATCGCCTTGCGCGGATCGGTGTCCGCGGCGGCGGGCGGTGCGACCGGTCTGGACCATCAGGGGGGCGGAGGCATCGGCTGTGCGGCCGACATAGCTCCTGTGCGCCAGTGTGCTGTGAAAGCGGTAGCAGCTGCTTCTGGGCGACCGGTCGCTGGCCCTTCAGGACCTTATTTCGTAGCGCGGGCGGCGACCGTCGATTCCATATGTTTCCTTCCCGGTCGCAGTAGCAGCGCTTTCGTGGGCGGCGTCCGGATCGGTGGTAGTTGCTCTCCTGGTCTGTTCCTCGTCGGCGACCATGGGCTCTCCTCTCTGGTTCCCACACGTCAGTCTTCCTCTGTGTCTGCCATGCCCGGTGTCAGGGCGTTTCACCCATCCTCTGTCAATGCCCGAGCCATGGCGACGGCGGAGATGGTCGTTGATGAAGAAGAAAGGGGCACGAGTGAGAGAGGGAGGGGACTGTACGGCTTGCCCAGCAGGCAGGAACTAGTGGAAGATTTGAGTGAAGTGCAAGCAGCTACCGGAGCGGAGGAGAAGAACGACGGCTTAGCCATCGCCAGCCTTCCCATCGACAGGGAAATTGTCGAGACTCTGGAGAAGCGGGGAATCACTCATCTCTTTCCTATTCAGGTAAGCCAGCTTCAAGTTAATTGCGTGCACAGCTGCAAATCTTGCTGATTGAGCCGACGTCAAAATAATACTGAAACATTTTTTTAAAAGTATAGCAATCTTTCAGCGTCGAGGTCGTCAATCACTCCCATAGACCGGGTCGAGAGTAACTGATTATACTATTACTAATAAGTAAAGTAATCAACCCCTCTGGGCTTTCAGCTTTGACGTTCCTGGCCGCGCTTTCGACGGTTTTTTGGAACAGAAATCGTCAGAAGTTAAATGTTCAAAGGAGTAATTAATTACGTGACTGCTAAAACTGTTCACGGGTTACCTAGCCAGGCAGCTGCTGGCTGGTGGAAGTGGACCGGATGAGAATGTATTAGGGAGTTTTTAATCGCCAAATTATCGACTGATTGATTGAGTGAGCGATTGACGATTGGAGTTGAAAAAGAAAAGTAAATTTGAGTTATCAGCAGCCAGCTAGCCGAGTACTATCTCAGCCAGAATAGCTGCCGTATCAACAGTCAACCAGTTAAGGGCGGTTTCTGTGTGTGTGTGTGTGAGAGAGAGAGAGAGAGAGAGAGAGAGAGAGAGAGAGAGAGAGAGAGAGAGAGAGAGAGAGAGAGAGAGAGAG